ACTCTCACCACTATTATTCAAACTAGTTTTGGAAGTCCTAGCCATGGCAATCAGAGAAGAAAAAGAAATAAAAGGAAGCCAAATTGGAAAAGAAGTAAAACTGTCACTGTTTGCAGATGACATGATACTATAAATAGAGAATCCTAAAGATGCCACCAGAAAACTACTAGACCTAATCAATGAAGTTGGTAAAGTTACAGAATACAAAATTAGTGCCCCCAAATCTCTTGCATTCCTATACACTAACAATGAAAGATCAGAAAGAGAAATTAAGGAAACAATCCCATTCACCATTGCAACAAAAAGAATAAAATACCTAGGAATAAACCTACCTAAGGAGGTAAAAGGCCTGTACTCAGAAAATTATAAGACACTGATGAAAGAAATCAAAGATGACACAAACAGATGCAGAGATATACCATGTTCTAGAATTGGAAGAATCAATATTCTGAAAATGACTATACCCAAAGCAATCTACAGATTCAATGCAAGTCCTATCAAATTACTAATGGCATTTTTTATAGAACTAGAACAAAAAATTTTAAAATATGTATGGAGACACAAAAGACCCCAAATAGCCAAAGCAACCTTGATGGAAAAAAATGGAGGTGGAGGAATCAGACTCCCTGACTTCAGAATATACTACAAAGGTACAGTAATTAAAACAATATGGTACTGGCACAAAAACAAACATACTGATCAATGGAACAGGTTAGAAAGCCCAGAGATAAACTCACACACCTATGGTCAACTAATCTATGACAAAGGAGGCAAGGATATAGAATGGAGAAAAGACAGTCTCTTCAATAAGTGGTGCTGGGAAAACTGGACAGTTACATGTAAAAGAATGAAATTAGAACACTCCCTAACACCATACACAAAAATAAACTCAAAATGGATTAAAGACCTAAATGTAAGGCCAGACACTATAAAACTCTTAGAGGAAAACATAGGAAGAACACTCTTTGACATAAATCACAGCAAGATCTTTGTTGACCCACTTGCTAGAGTAATGGAAATATAAACAAAAATAAACAGATGGGACCTAATGAAACTTAAAAGCTTTTGCATAGCAAAGGAAACTATAACCAAGATGAAAAGACAACCCCCAGAATGGGAGAAAATATTTGCAAACGAATCAACGGACAAAAGATTAATCTCCAAAATATATAAACAGTTCATGCAGCTCAATATTAAAAGAACAAACAACCCAATCAAAAAATGGGCAGAAGATCTAAACAGACATTTCTCCAAAGAAGACATACAGATGGCCAAGAGGCCAACATCACTACTGCTCAACATCACTGTTTATTAGAGAAACACAAATCAAAACTACAATGAGGAATCACCTCACACAGGTTAGAATGGGCATCATCAGAAAATCTACAAACAATAAGTGCTGAGAGGGTGTGGAGCAAAGGGAACCCTCTTGCACTGTTGGTGGGAATGTAAATTGATACAGCCACTATGGAGAACAGTATGGAGGTTCCTTAAAAACCTAAAAATAGAATTACCATATGACCCAGCTATCTCACTACTGGGCATATACCCTGAGAAAACCATAATTCAAAAAGGCACATACAGGGCTTCCCTGGTGGCACAGTGGTTGAGAGTCCGCCTGCCAATGCAGGGGACACGGGTTTGTGCCCCGGTCCGGGAAGATCCCACATGCTGTGGAGCGGCTGGGCCCGTGAGCCATGGCCGCTGAGCCTGCGCATCCAGAGCCTGTGCTCTGCAATGGGAGAGGCCACAACAGTGAGAGGCCCGCGTACCGCAAAAAAAAAAAAAAAAAAAAGGCACATACATCCCAATGTTCATTGCAGCTCTATTTACAATAACCAGGTCATGGAAGCAATCTAAGTTGTGGTACATATATACAATGGAGTATTACTCAGCCATAAAAAGAAACGAAATTGGGTAATTTGTAGAGATGTGGATAGACCTAGAGACTGTCATACAGAATGAAGTAAGTCAGAAAGAGAAAAACAAATAACGTATATTATCGCATATATGTGGAATCTAGAAAAATGGTACAGATGAACCAGTTTGCAAGGCAGGAATAGAGACACAGATGTAGAGAACAAATGTATGGACACCAAGGGGGGAGAGGGGGGAATGAATTGGGACATTCGGATTGACATATATACACTAATATGTATAAGATAGATAACTAATAAGAACCTGCTGTATAAAAAATAAATTAATTTAATTTAATTAAAAAAAATAAAAGACAAAGGAAAAAAAGAAACCCACAAACTCAGATCACACCAGGAGGCCTTAATGGAGTAGTCTGGACTTTGCTGATGATTCGTGGGATTTTGTAGAGCACATTCACCCCTTAAGAGATCCTCCATGAAATCACTGGGAGGTCCAAGCTCATAAGAGCTATAGAATCAAGTCCTAAATGTTATTTTCATAGCCCCTCCGTGGCCTACTGAGGAAGTAAACAAAATGCCACTGAGCTACCTGCTGTTTTAGGCCTCACATTCCCTGCAGCCAAAAGCAGAGTCAGTTTCATAAAGGGTTAAAAATCATGGGAATTTTTCTGTACTTTAAAATATTGCATGAAACTCACTTCTGTACGAATAATGATCATCTGCATTTTCTTCCCTGCCTCTTCATCTAACAAATACATTTTTACAGGTTTTACAATATTCTTTACAGCTCACGTAAAACACATAATTTTCCTCCTGTTTATATCACTTGTTTATTATTTATTTATTAGATTTATATGGCGCTTTCCTCCAAAAGGCACTACACAGCCAACTCTGATGTAATAAACATTACATTAAACTCTTCTTAAAAACCATAGTCAGGGAAGTGGCCAGCATGAAGGCCCAAGAGACATACATAGGAAGAATGAAGAGCCATGGGTCTGGTGAAATATGCAAGCAAGTAGTCAGTATATTAGGAGGCCCAGTGACCAGAAGGCCTGTCCTGCATTTTCTGGTCACTCTACCTGCAAAGACCCTGAGAGTGCCTTTGATTAAAAGTGACAGACCCCAAATATCTCTATTTCTGTGTGGGAGTGGGCATGGGTCTGTAGGGGAGTGGGGAGGGGGTGGAGTATTATAGCTATATCTCTGGGCTCCGGAGAGGATGTCTGAAAACAAAGATACTTACACAGGGCTTCCCTGGTGGCGCAGTGGTTGGGAGTCCGCCTGCCGATGCAGGGGACGCGGGTTCGTGCCCCGGTCCGGGAGGATCCCACATGCCGCGGAGCGGCTGGGCCCGTGAGCCATGGCCGCTGGGGCCGGGCGTCTGGAGCCTGTGCTCCGCAACGGGAGGGGCCACAACAGTGAGAAGCCCGCGTACCGCAAAAAAAAAAAAAAAAAAAAGATACTTACACAGACAATGTGTTTTGAAAATCTCTGGAAAAAGATACATAGTGATGTTTTATAACAAATCACCGAGATAGATTTTTTCTGTATAAATACAATTCACGCTCAATCCTCAGTTCTGCTGAGTGTCCATGACTTCCAAAGGCTCTGTAGACGTTCAAAGGCCAGGGAAGCTCAAAAGTGCAAAGATTCTCAAAATCGAAAAGCGACAAGGTAACTTCAGCTTTTAAATTCTGGGCCACATTGATTTGACAAAGCCACGTGTTGACGTCCTGCATATGCGATCCTCGCAGTGGTGGAAGGATTAGCTAAACAGTAACTCTCCCAGGCGCTGCTGGAAGATCAGGACAAGAATGAGCAAGAAGGGAGTATATTCTTACTTGTGGTCCAAAGAAGAAAGGACCATTCCCAGTAAATGGAGCAGATGATGTAGCTCTCCTATCAGTACAGAGAGTGGGAGAGAATCCAGCCAGGAGAAAGAATAACATCATCATCATCATTATTATTATTACTAGTAGTAGTAGCAGTAGTGTTGTTGTTATTGTTATTTCGTGGATATTATGACCCAGGCACTCTTGTGCTCCAGTCATATATGCTGACCTCTTTAATCCCCAGAACAAACCTACAGAGTGGGCATGACCGTTTTCCTAGTTTTACAAATAAGGAACCTGAGACTTAAATAAGTTATTTGCCCAAAGTCACTCAGCTAGTAAGTGCTTGAGCTAGGATTCAAACCCAGCACAAAAGGATAGGTAAGAAAACCAAGGAAACATATAAAAGGCATCTGTCCATTGACAAAAAGAGAAGGGAAGATCAATTTCCCTTCTGAAAGCTGTTGGTAGAGAGCTAACAGCACAATAGCAGGTTAGGAACAACAAATAAAGACCTTACGGATAAGGCAGCAGCAAGCCCAGTGCAGACAGAAGAGGTACAGCAATGCAGAGACCCTGTGATGAGAGGAGCTCAGAAAGGACCAGTAATCTTATCCCCAGGGCTGAGTGAGCAGGAGCTGGGAGCTGGGAACTGAAACACACTGTGTTGTCTTGTATAACTGACTGTGTGCTTCAGCCAAGTTCACTGTGGAGTTCTAAAGTGATTCATTCTCAGTAGCCCGTTTGTGATCCTCCCCCACCTAAATATAAATACGATGCATTCAGCACTTACTGAGCATCAAGCATTTAACACACGTCATCTTATTTAAACCTCACAGCAGCACTATAAAGTAGATACCATAATCACCCCCATCTTACCAACAAGGAGGCACAGAGAAGTTGAGTAAATTGCTCAAAGTCATACAGAGTTAGAAAAAGGTAGAGATGGACCCCCAGTCTAGCAAGTCTGGCCCCAGAACCCAACTTCCTAGTTTCCATGCTGTGCACCTTCTAGAAACTGATTCTGTGCACTGCAACCCCCTCTCAGTTCTGTCTGACCTCTCTTCTGAGAAGGAAACTAGCCAACATCCTGTCTCTTGTTTTCACTTCTAGAAGGCCAGCTTCCTCAAGTCACCCACTCTGACCAAGTGAAAATTATCTGGGAACAAATGTAGAACATACCATAGAGAGAGAAAAAACTGACGTGGAATCCCTATTAGCCTGTACATTCCCAGACATTCTTTTGAAAGTGCTTTGTATCACAGAGCATATATGTGTCATAACATACATAGTCCCCATGGAAGATGCCTTCTACATGGCAGTTGTTGCAATTATCATAGCAGAGATTCCTCATTCTCATTTCTGGAGGTCTGGGAAATGGCAACTGAAGCTGGGAATCATAAGCATCATAAGCAACATGGATTATGCCAGGATCAACCTGCACTCTGTCTAGAAAAACCTTCACCATCTTCAAATGGCTCCCTTCTTCTCGTCCTTAAAGTTTTAGATTAAATGACAGTAATTCACAGAGATCCTCCTAAATCAAAACCTGGTATCACCCTAGCACTTACCATAAGCAGTAATTATATCTTTTATTAATTTACTTGTTTTTGTTGATGTATTTGTTTTCTAGGGCTGCCATAATAAAGTACCACAAAAAGGGTGGCCTAAACAACATAAACTTATTCTCTCTCATTTCTAGAGCTTAGAAGTCCAAATTCAAGGTTTCAGCGGGGTCATATTCCCTCTGAGACTCTTGCTAGAACCCTTCCTTGCCTCTTCTAGCTTGCAGAAGTGGCCATCGGCCCTTGGTGTTCTTTGGTTTACAGCTGCATCACTTGAGTCTCTGCCTCTATTGTCACATGACATTCTCCACATGTGTTGCTGTGTCCAAATTTCCCTCTTCTTATACGGACACCAGTCATATTGGATTAAAGCCCCACTCCACTCCAGTATGAGCTTACCTTATCTTAGCTAATGACATCTTCAGATGGCTAGTTCTGGCCCCCCAAAGTGTGAGAGAATACATTTCTGTGTTTAAGCCTCCCAGTTTATGGTCATTTGCTACAGCAGTTCTAGGAAAATGCTGCCAGAAATTCTCATAGCTTTATTTAACCCTGGGTTTCCACATTTATTTGACCAACTAAATATTTTCCCATGATAGCTATTAACAATCCCTAATTCCTTAGGTGGAAAATATAAATAGGAAAAAGCTAATCTAATCTTCCTATTTTACATAGGAAGAAACTGAGACTCAAGGAGGAGACCAGATTCACAAGCTCATGCCTGGCAGGATGGAGACCAGAACTCAGACCTCCAACTCCACTCGGTGCGCTTTGCCATCTCACAGTTAATTCTCAGCCACCCAGGAAATGGGGGTGCCTTGAAATAAAACAGGGAACCTCTCCCAACTGAAGAACATCCTTCAGTGATGTCTCCTGGACTCCTTGAAGGTATTTAGTCAATATTTTTCTAACCAATAGGAGAAATTGTTATCATTTTTAGGGAGGTTACGGAAATGTGTTCAAGAAACCAGTGATGAAAGCAGCTGGTCCAGTGTACACTGATGTTTCAGATGAGCTGAAACGGACAAAAATTACAGCCGCAGAGGGGTCTTCAGCCCCTCGTCACCACCACCCTTGTGCCTAAGGAAAGGGACATGGGAAGCAAGCGTCTTCTATGTGAAAAGGGATATAGCTTCATTTATGCAGTTATGGGCTCTTCAGTCCTTTTGCTTCTCTTCTTTTTGCCCCCTCACCCGACCTTCTTCCTCAAACACACAGAATCCATGAGAAGTAAAGCCATCCCAGCTCTGGAGAAGGGGAAGAAGCTTGTCCTACCTTCCACTTGATAAGCTGAGGTGACTACCCACCATCCAAATCCTGCAGGAAAATCCATGCTTTCAGAAGACGGCCGACCAGAACACTCAGGCAACAGAGCTGCACCCTTCAGGCAGGGGAGTCCAGCAGCTGTGCAAACAGTAAGTGAACCCTCACCCTGACCGAAGTCTCAGAATGCAAACGAGTACGCAAACAAGAAGGGAACCTGATTAAAGCATCCCACTTGACTGGCCACAGCCTTGATTTGAAGCCAAGACACTTGGTTCAGGGGGACCATTTATACTGTTCTTCTCTGGACACTCCCCGATTTTTAACAGAGTTGGGCCAGCCTGGGGACAGACCAGGTCCCTGCTTTGGCAGGGCACCCATTCATCTAATCTTTTCCCTTTTAATGAAACACATGGACATTGTTTTTAAAAGTCACATAATCCTACTAGAACTTTCCCTTGGTCAATTCCTCCCAATTCCTTATCCCCACTCCCTAGAGGCCACCATTTTCAACTGTTTCTTCTGATATTTATTCCCCTGTTGTCAAATAATAGGCTGAGATTGGTGCCTCTTAATTTGTTTTTCAATTTTAGATAATAACTATTGACTTCTGGATATAAGGGTGGAAGATCCTAGCATGTGTGCTCTCTCTCTCTCTCCCCTTGCTCCATCGACCCGATGTGGTTAGATTACCTCTTCTGTTTAAATAAATATTCGATATTTACATGAATTTGACTGCGTATGGCTCAAAGCTGAGCTGTGTAGTATACCATGCTTACAGGCAACTTTTCATTTTCTCCAGGGTTCAACTGTCTGGATTTTATATTTAAATTCCTCTATTCTTATCACTAATTTATCCCCAAACAGTCTGACAGGACTATGAATCTATGTTTAAACACCTCTGTTTGCTTGCTCCACTCTGCACTGTTTGTTTCTTAGGCAGCCACAGAGCTGTGTAGTCTTTAACTTCCCTCAGCAGTCTCCTGGGCTTTCTCCCTCTTTTTTTCCTTTCCCTATTTAGAGAAACAAATCCTTGAATAACTTTCTGATAAAATGGGCATGGGAGACACGTTTTTTGAAACCCTGTAGTTCTACAATTATCTTTATTCTAATGTCACACTTGATATGTAGTTTGGCTACTATGGGATTTTATGGTAGAAATAATTTTCATTCAGAATTTTGAAAGCATCGGTTTATAGTTTTCTAGCTTCCAGTGTGGCAACTGAGAAGTCTGATGACAATCCAAGTCCTAGTCTTTCATATGTCACCTGTTTTGTGCCCCAGCCCACCCTCCCTGCTCCCCAAGCTTCTGTTTCTGAAATTTCACAGTCACATGTTTGACGTGGAATTTCTCATCCACTGTGCCAGACACACAGCCTGTGGACCGTAGTGATGCAGGATGTTGACAATAGGGGAAGCTGGGAGAGGATACACGGGAATACTCGGTACTATCTTTGCAACGTTTCTGTGCATCTAAAATTGATCCAAAATTAAGGGTTTTTTTTAATGTCTGTGAAAAGAGGAGCTAGGAAAAATCAAAGTGAGGAGAGTTACTGATTCAGTTCCCCTAAGACAGCAGTAATTCATCCTACACTGTGTAATGACAGGAACACAAGATTGGAATGAGGTATAACTAGGTTGAAATCCTACCCTCTCCAGTTATCCTAATCCTAAGAAGAAAGAAGAGGTTAACTATCAAAGGAAATGAGGGAAGATATTTAAAGGGTATGTGTTTGGTGAAATAAAGGGTATGTGTTTGGTGAAATAAACATTAAAAATACAGGGCGGAGGAGCTTCAAGATGGCGGAGGAGTAAGACGCGGAGATCCCCTTCCTCCCCACAGATACACCAGAAATACATCTACATGTGGAACAACTCCTACAGAACACCTACTGAACGCGGGCAGAAGACCTCAGACCTCCCAAAAGGCAAGAAACCCCCCACGTACCTGGGTAGGGCAAAAGAAAAAAGAAAAAACAGAGACAGAAGAATAGGAATGGGACCTGCACCAGTGGGAGGGAGCTGTGAAGGAGGAAATGTCTCCACACACTACGAAGCCCCTTCACTTGCGGAGACTGCGGGTGGCAGAGGCGTAAAGCGGAGAGATTCCCGCACAGAGGATCGGTGCCGACCGGCACTCACCAGCCCGAGAGGCCTCTCTGCTCACCCGCCGGGGCGGGCGGGGCTGGGAGCTGAGGCTCGGGCTTCGGTCGGATCTCAGGGAGCGGACTGGGATTGGCGCGTGAACACAGCCTGAAGGGGTTAGTGCGCCACGGCTAGCCGGGAGGGAGTCCGGGAAAAGGTCTGGAGCTGCCGAAGAGGCAAGAGGCTTTTTCTTACCTCTTTGTTTCCTGGTGCGCGAGGAGAGGGGATTCAGAGCGCTGCTTAAAGGAGCTCCAGAGACGGGCGCGAGCCGCGGCTACGAGCGCGGACCCCAGAGACGAGCATGAGACGCTAAGGCTGCTGCTGCCGCCACCAAGAAGCCTGTGTGCGAGCACAGGTCACTATCCACACCTCCCTTCAGGGGAGCCTGTGCAGCCCGCCACTGCCAGGGTCCCGGGATCCAGGGACAAATTCCCCGGGAGAACGCACGGCGTGCCTCAGGCTGCTGCAACGTCACGCCGACTTCTGCCGCCGCAGGCCCGCCCCGCACTCCGTGCCCCTCCCTCCCCCCCGGACCTGAGTGAGCCAGAGGGCCCGAATCAGCGGCTCCTTTAAGCCCGTCCTGTCTGAGCGAAGAACAGACGCCCTCCGGCGACCTACACACAGAGGCGGGGCCAAATCCAAAGCTGAACCCCTGGAGCTGTGCGAACAAAGAAGAGAAAGGGAAATCTGTCCCAGCAGCCTCAGAAGCAGCAGATTAAATCTCTGCAATCAACTTGATGTACCCTGCGTCTGTGGAATTCCTGAATAGACAACGAATCATCCCAAATTGAGGAGGTGGACTTTGGGAGCAATGATATTTCTTTTTTTCCCCCCTTTTTCTCTTTTTGTGAGAGTGTATGTGTATGTTTCTGTGTGTGATTTTGTCTGTATAGCTTTGTTTTTACCATTTGTTCTAAGGTTCTGTCTGGTTTTTTTGTTTGTTTTTTTATTACTTAAAAACAATTTTTTTCTTAAAATTATTTTTTATTTTAATAACTTTATTTTATTTTACTTTATTTTATTTTATCTTCCTCGTTCTTTCTTTTTTTCTTTCCTTTTATTCTGAGACGTATGAAGGACAGGCTCTTGGTGCTCCAGCCAGGCATCAGGGCTGTACCACTGAGGTGGGAGAGCAAAGTTCAGTACACTGGTCCGCAAGAGACCTCCCAGCTCCACGTAATATCAAACGGCAAAAATCTCCCAGAGACCTCCATCTCAAAGCCAAGACCCAGCTCCACTCAATGACCAGCAAGCTACAGTGCTGAACACCCTATGCCAAACAACTAGCAAGACAGGAACACAACCCCATCCATAAGCACAGAGGCTGCCTAAAATCATAATAAGGCCACAGACACCCCAAAACACACCAACAGACGTGGACCTTCCCACCAGAAAGACAAGATCCAGCCTCATACACCAGAACACAGGCACTAGCCACCTCCACCAGGAAGTCTACACAACCCACTAAACCAACCTTAGCCACTGGTGACAAACACCAAAAACAACGGGAACTACGAACCTGCAGCCTATGAAAAGGAGACCCCAAACACAGTAAGTTAAGCAAAATGAGAAGACAGAGAAACACAGCAGATGAAGGAGCAAGATAAAAACCCACCAGACCTAACAAATGAAGAGGAAATAGGCAGTCTACATGAAAAAGAATTCAGAATAATGATAGTAAGAATGATCCAAAATCTTGGCAAAAGAATGGAGAAAATACAAGAAAGGTTTAACAAGGACCTAGAAGAACTAAAGAGAAAACAAACAGTGATGAACAACACAATAAATGAAATTAAAAATTCTCTAGAAGGGATCAATAGCAGAATAACTGAGGCAGAAACACGGATAAGTAACCTGGAAGATAAAATAGTGGAAATAACTACTGCAGAGCAAAATAAAGAAAAATGAATCAAAATAACTGAGGACAGTCTCAGAGACCTCTGGGACAACATTAAACACACCAACATTCAAATTATAGGGGTCCCAGAAGAAGAAGAGAAAAAGAAAGGGACTGAGAAAATATTTGAAGAGGTTATAATTGAAAATTTCCCTAATATGGGAAAGGAAATAGTTAATCAAGTCCAGGAAGCACAGAGAGTCCTTTACATTATAAATCCAAGGAGAAACATGCCAAGACACATATTAATCAAACTATCAAAAATTAAATACAAAGAACAAACATTAAAAGCAGCAAGGGAAAAACAACAAATAACACATCAGGGAATCCCCATAAGGTTAACAGCTGATCTTTCAGCAGAAACTCTGCAAGCCAGAAGGGACTGGCAGGACATACTGAAAGTGATGAAGGAGAAAAACCTGCAACCAAGATTACTCTAACCAGCAGGATCTCATTCAGATTTGACAGAAAGATTAAAACCTTTACAGACAAGCAAAAGCTGAGAGAATTCAGCACCACCAAACCAGCTTTACAACAAACGCTAAAGGCACTTCTCTAGGCAAGAAACACAAGAGAAGGAAAAGACCTCCTATAACAAACCCAAAACAATTAAGAAAATGGTAATAGGAACATACAGATCAATAGTTACCTTAAATGTAAATGGAATAAATGCTCCAAACAGAAGACATATATTGGCTGAATGGATACAAAAACAAGACCAACATATATGCTGTCTACAAGAGACCCACTTCAGACCTAGAGACACATACAGACTGAAAGTGAGGGGATGGAAAAAGATATTCCATGCAAATGGAAATCAAAAGAAAGCTGGAGTAGCAATTCTCATATCAGACAAAGTAGACTTTAAAATAAAGACTATTACAAGAGACAAAGAAGGACACTACATAATGATCAAGGGATTGATCCAAGAAGAAGATATAACAATTGTAAATATTTATGCACCCAACATAGGAGTACCTCAATACATAAGGCAAATGCTAACAGCCATAAAAGGGGAAATCGACAGT